TCACCATACCCTACTTACCTGGTGCAGATAGAAATTGAGATTTTTAAAAACATTGTCACTGAACACAATTTTAAGGTTTTGGCAATAAGTTTGCCTTAAAGCTAATCGAATTTTTCGAAGAAAAAAATTAAGGTGTGTTTGTCAATGCTCCTCCAAGAACATGAGGTACTTGGGGTAGGGTGGGGTTTTTCCCCTTTCTTCAACTCTTCCTCTTTCACCTCTAACCCCGCCGGTCCCACCCCACCTCCCCTCCCAGCCCAAACCCCCACACCTTGTCTCCCTGGGAACATCATCACTCCTGGTCCACATGGCGGGGCGAGTACACATCGCCAAGCTGCTAAGTCTACACTGGCTGGGGTGCCCCGTGTTTGCCCTGGGGAAGAGCATGTGTTCGTGGACGCTGGGTTCTCTGGGTCAGAAATGGCACACCAGGGTGTGATGGGCTTTGCTCTGCTGGTCGTGGCCATTGTAGGTGTGAAATTCCCAGAGCTGAGGCTGGCCACTCAGCCCGGCAGCACCAGAGCCCAAAAGTTACTCAGACAGAGGGAGGCAATGGATGTGTTAGACCTTTTGGTTAGCCACCGTCACCTGTCTGAGTTGAAACCCACGGTCTCATTTTTCTAGGACTCTTTCTTGTCTCAGTGCACAAAGACACAATACACTCATAGAACTAGTCCTCTTTTCTTTTCTTTTTTTTAAATACTGTATATTCCTGCTGTAGAATAGTAATGTTATTGCTTGTATTGGACATTTCAGATGTGTAGCAGTCAGTGAGTCATGGAATACATTCACATGTAGTCACCCTCAGTAGCCTTAATTGAGAGTTGCAGGAGTGTTAGTGGCATTGAGGAGGCCTTTCATTGAGGCTCTGGGCGTGTCAGCAAAATGACCTGTAATGATCCTGGTACTGTACATCCTCACTGCAACTGTGGCTAAAATCAGATTGCCAATGTCATTTTACAGCTTGGAAGAAAAACAATGCTCTTACTGTACTTACTTACAGGCTCTATGACTATGAAGCTACATGCACGCCAAGCCGTAGTAATTATTGTATAAAACACAACCCTGAAGTTCGATCTTAAGACTCTTCATTGTCAAGTCTTGTTCAAGAAAAAGGGCTGGCTACCACACAGTAATGACTGTGTGTGCTCCAGAGTGCACCAACTGTTGTGGCACACAGCCAGGCTACAACACTTTGATGCTGTCATCTTGCCATAGCTGCCATTGATTCATCCTTTTTGCTTTGAAGTCCAGTCCTTTTCTTATTGCTATACTTAGCTTTAGGTAATAATATTTAGCAATAACAGTACAGTAGGTCATGAATATCTACCTGCACGCTGTCTCCAAAAGGACATTTTTTGTTACTCCCTGGCCTAAGGGGAGGTTACTGTAAGGTCATTAGAACACTATATTTAGCATTGGTGTTTTATATGACTTTTCCTTCCACAGAGAGAGGGAGTACATTTAGACACCTTAGGCGGTTGGCAGAGTGAGGATATGGGTTTAAGGGTAAAGTATAAAAACCATGTTTTTTTGATGCCCTGTATGAACTAAAAATACTTGTTTAGACTAGTATAATACAAGCCATTGGTGCACAGGCCCCAGGGCAGGATTTAAACAATCTCCATATTCATCCTGGAAATGCTGAGGAGTCGATCTTGGACTCCTTAACCTTGAAACATTTCACAAAGGTTTTTAGTGTTAACAACACAGAAAGTCCCCTCTCTTTGCCTTGACTCTGTTTTCAATTCAGGTCGTTAAGAGTGAAATTTCAATTTCACAACAAACTATGATTAAATCCTGAAGTCTAATATGATTCCAGCTGCCGTCCAAGGCAAGTTGTCTCTGATGCACCACATAAACTTTATATCCTATTGTATGTTCTTGTTCCATTTATCCGGTTTAGTTCACTTGCATGAATATGTGATCTTATCACAAACTATTCTTGGAGTTATTTGGCATTAAGATGTTTCATTCTTAGCACTATAATATAGTACTCCCTTTTAGCCCATCCCAGCCTGGTTGTTTTGCCAAATGTGTGTGATGCCTGACAGTCAGACCTTTTCCTGTGGCTTTTGAAATCCAATCACAGAGGCAGCTGTTCTGGCTTTTCTGTAACCTGAAGTTCCTGTGAGATGATGGTGTTGTTCTTCCTCCAGCCTGCTCAGTATGAAGGGTGTATTTAACCCAGTGATGTTTATATATTCACCCATATATTCCCTTACTTTTATACTGAATGTGTGTCATAATATATGCTTCCATATGCAATCAGAAAAAACATTTGAAGTTCTCTGGCGTGATACAGCTCGTCTTGACAATCCTGCAGACCTCTCATTGAATTCTGTTGTATGTAATGAGCTGATTTTTTTGCACCAAGCAGCACGTGTCATTCTCATAACACATGCATCTTGTGTTTGTTAAGGTCAGTTGTCAAATTCAGTTTACAGTAACAGTATTCGAGATAAATGTCTTATTTTGTTTATCTTCCTTCCTAATCAGTTGTTTCATAGTCTGTGGGTTGCACTCGAATAAATGAATGATTGTAATACATTTGGAAGGAATTGAAAGAACTACCCTAAACATTTGCCAGATACAGTAACTTCAGTTATGAAACCAAGAGGCACAAAGGTTCATCCACCCAAAAACAGAAACAGAGAGCAGGGTGAGAAAGATGCTGTATAAAAAGGTTAGTGCCAAACTTTGCCTCATCTCTGTAAATGGACTGTACATTACAGCTCAACTCAGCCCCTAGTGGCTGGATAGAATACTGTATGCTTTTAGTAAATTCCACCTCAGTCCTAAATCCCAGTTTTAGATCTTGAAGCACAATCACATCTTTTTGCAGTAAAGCATGACTGACAGCCTGCCATTACTGTTTTAATTTTCCTTATTATGGCCACTTTGTGCTATTTTTATCAATTTACTATTGTTATGGTGATGAAAATAGTTGATTATATAGTAGACAGTAAACAAACAACAGCTTTCAGATGTTGGATTAGTCTTTTCTCTGTCACTAAAGCCCCAGATTTAAGACATAAAACGCCACAGAAGGGCTGTCCGTGTCTCTGGTTTTGGAGGATTAGTGTTTCTTAGCAATAAAGTGCACTGAAATGAGTTTGTCTCTCCTTTCTCTGTCATTCACCGACCAACTCTCTCCAACGGTCTCAAACCCCAACCCCAGGCCCGGGTTTTCACAACCTACAATGAAGGCAGCCCATAACCTTAAGTACTGTTTTGTAGACTGTTTAAATTTGACACTATTATGCCAGAGAGAGGGTCTGTGTAGGTGTTAATGCTAGTGTGGGAGATTGCCAAAAATCTGTATAAACCCTGCTTACCTCATTATGTGATGCCAAGAAATTTGCTGCCTTTTCTTCAACACTATGCACACTTCTTGGTCCTTTTGTTCCTTTCTGTGATCTTTTGAATTGCTCTAAATCTTTTCCTTCAGTCCTGTAGTTTTTTATGGTATTTTGGAATAGTATTTGTGCTTGTCCCCGCTGTTCTTTTGCTTATTTGTGTTAAGCAATCGAGAAAGTACTACTGGTGACTTAAACCTGTGTAACTTTATTTAAAGTCAGTCCTGTCTTTTTCTGTGAAAGTACTTCAAACAGGACACCATATGCAGGAGTGGCAGTCCTGATGGATGTAGTGATGGGCTGTGATAGTGTCGCTTTCTAATTTTCAGCAAGATCAAGCATTCTATTAACTGGAGCTTGACCCACAGCATTTACCAGCAAACTAGCTCTCTCAGATTCTTGGGAAATAATTACTTTAATATTTGTTATTTCGTGTCAAGGACCTGCAGTACAGTTTGACATCCAGTGAACCTATAACTGTAAGTTGTTTATACTGTCTGTCTTTTTATCGTTTGAGTAAATTACACTTTGCCAACAATTTTTTTCCCCTCACTACAACTCTATCTGAAACTTTAAACTTAACCGTTTTCACTCTTCTTTTACTTTTCACCTTTCTGTCTGTGTCATGGCCCGGTTTTAATTGGCAGACTTGCTAGAGCTAGGTTTGTGTGTGGTGGCACTGGGGGCAGGGTGCAGAGCTGGCCTGGGTTGAGCGTACCCAGCCCCTCATAATTACAGACAGTAAACAGCTAGGGCTTTTAGGCCTTTTTTCCACGTCTGATGGGTAGAGAGTTCACTTTGGCATAAGAAGAAAAGGCAGAGAGGATGAGAAGGAGGAGAAAGACGGTCTGAAGGTGGACAAAAACTGTCATCCTTATTTTGGGTGTTGACAATAGAAGCAGTTTACAAACAGTTGGTGAGACTAAGAGACAGGTTTTTAGACACTCAAACAGGCAGAGACAGACATTGTCACCACCCCCTAGAACCCAACACATAGACACTACACACTTCTTCTTGTGCGACAGTCTTTTGATGTGATTTTTCTTACGGTAAGTCTTAATTAGAAGTTCCAACAACCCCTAGTTAAATGTGTCTCTTTACTTTTTACTTTTCTCCTTACAAGTGTCAAATTGATCACTCTTTTTCTTTATACTCTCTCTGAGTATGTCTGTTGTTTTTTTTCCGTCTGCCTCCCTGTCTGTGTCCTTCCCTCTGTCTTCCCCCCTCTCCTTAATGCTTTTTAAGTGTTTCACTGGCGAAACTGTTAACTTGAAACAACTGTGAGGCTGTTTACTCAATGTAAAATTTCAAAACAAACAGTTTGTGGATTCAAACTGTATGCTACTGTGTATGCCATCTCTCTCTCTGTCTCTTTATCTCCTTCCTCATCTCTCTCTGCCCCCTCTCTCTGTGCACTGCACAGCGTTGGCAGGCGGTGGGGATGGGAGTTTTCTTTGGCTGTCTGCTTCCCCTCTCTTGGCTGGGACAGGCCCCGGAGCGTGCTACTGGCTGAGAGTGTGGAAGGGAAGCAGGGAGGGGATGAGGGAGGGAGGGAGGGAGAAAGGGCTTGGGAGGAGGGAGACTGGAGGGGTGGAGGCGTGGTCTGCAGCTGGTAATGAAGTCTTCTCTTTTCATCCTCAGAAGGCAGAGTGTGAGCGGACGGGCCCTGGGTCTGTGCGGCTTCACTGCTTTCTCTGCCTGTAAAGTGTGCCGAGCGTCAGTCTGCTCTGTGCTGCTCTGTGCTGCCTGTGTGTGTCAGCGCCCGTCTCCCACAGCTGAGAGATACAAAGAGACCGAGACGGAGAGAGACCGCTACAGTCATGAGGCTTTCCCTTGTATCGGCTCCTTAGCATTACTCTTGAGGTAAGACTACAGACTGTCTCCTCCTCATGTGCTGCTCCTGCCTGTCTCTCTCTCACTGCTCTCCTTTACTGTCTGTCTGTCTCTGTTGATTGTTGTGGTGGGGGGTGGGGGTGTAAGGGGGGCAGTCTGGTTTAGGTCCCTCCCACTTTAAATGTGTGCTATGTGTGTTTGCACCTATAGTATGTGCAATGGTAGATAGGTGTGTGTTTGTGATTGTGTGAGCATACATTCACACATGAACATAATGTATGTGTGTGTGTGTGTGTGTGTGTGTGTCTTTGCATATTTCCTGCACTGTTTATGTATGAACGCAGACTGAGTCACTGTTCAGTGAAAGGTTTATGTTAATGATGATAAATGACTCCTACTGGTCAGGCAAGGAAGGGGGTCAGACTGGGGCTAAGACATTCTGGAAAAAGGAAGATCAGTTATGGGATGGGAACTTTTGTAAGAGTTGACTAGAAGTTTATATTCAATAAGAATTCAGATTTTCTGAATTTCTTTTGTTGTCGGGTAAATTTAATATCACTCTGTTGACTTGTATTGTTGATCTGGGCTATTGCTATTGTAATATACAACCATACAGTGATACTACCCCCTAATTTTAAATGAGCTGTTAAATGTTGTAGAGGGCGGTGTTACTGCACGTGTGTGTGTGTCAGGGGGCGCACATGTGAAGATGTTTATTTGCACTGCTGATTGCGTTTTAAGGCAGATGCTACTGGGCTATTGAGGCTCATCTCTTTATATAAAAAAAGGACAGGAGACAGTGTGTACTCATCTGCAGCCCAGTGACACCAGGCTTTGAAGTGATTTCAGTGGATCTGTCCTCCTCCCCGCTGGGCAATTCAGATCCGGCCTGCGACTCACTCACTTTCATCCACATTCCCTTGGAAATCCATCCATCTGTATTCTTTCAGTCACCTCCTTCCTGCTCCCCCATTTACCCTATGAGTTCTTGCACCCTGATACCCCTTGGTGAGGCTTTTACCTCCTATCAACACCTCTTGTATTCTCATAAGCTGTATTCCTATGGTTTTATTCTCCATCCGTACTAGCCAGACACGCTTCTAGGGAATGGGTCTTTCCGATACCTCTCCCGGAAAAAAACCTAAGCGACTTTCCATTAGTTTCTGCTGGGCCATGAGAATTATGGTTTCCCAAATGAATAGTGTACAGGAGCCCGGCTTAATTGAAAAAACACAAGCATGGTCTGCCATGAAGGAGACGGTCCTTGTGTCACTGTTGAACTGTGCGAATGTACTTTCCAGAGCTGGCGAGGGGGAGAGAAAGAGAGAGGAAAATACAAAAAGAGGATGAGATAGAGGACAGACAGAAGGCTAAGGCAAATAAAGTTATTAAATAAAAGTGTGGAAAATCAAATGGACTGATTGAAAACATTGTGGGTACTATGCAATGTAGATTTGGAGGCGAAGATGGAATCATCAGGGGACACACAAGAATATATAAAAATTATTTTGAAGCAACCCAGAAGAAAAAGAAAGCAGTATTGTGTGTGTAAACTTCCAGTTTGGCTTCATTTGGTCTGTCAGTCTGGACAATGTGTATAAAAGGCAATTCTAGTAGGATGGAATGGCAGAAGGAGGCCATCGTGAGACTGTTTGCTGGTCATTAAACCCCAAAGGGCAACAATAGAACCCACAGTAAAACCTGCTTGATTGCAGTCCAGCTAACAGCAGTAACTCTCCCATGAGTTTCCCAACAGGGAGTCATCATAACATTTAACCCTACTGAAGCAGTCTGCTCAGCTGTGAGTGTGGTGGCTGTATTGTAAACAGACCACCAGTGAGCCTTTAGAGAAGTTTGTTCTGTGTTGCTGCATTTCCCATATCAACAATACTTGACATATCCTATCAATATCCACCTTGTTATGTTTTACTGTGTCTGCTGTCTCCGCTGCTTCCCCCTCCTCTGTCTTTCTTCACCCCCTGTAGTCTTTCTCCCACCCTCTCTGCTGTGTTTGTGTGACATGTTTGTGTGGCATCCCCATATGGTGATTGAGACCCTGTCATTGGCTCAGATGGCACATTTGTCACACACATGTTTGCCAGCAGCTGCTGTTGCTAGGGCTTGCGGAGCTGCAGGGGAAAGCATCTCTTGTTGACTTCCTCACTGGGTGGCTCATTTGTTTGTCATGGCACTGTGACCCCTGACCCCGCTACCACCTCCTGCCTCTCGCACTTAATGTAACTCTAGACTCCCTGAGAGCCCCTCAGACTCCTATCCTCCGCCATCACCACCACACTCATGCATGATTACCGGGAGGGAGAAGTATGGAAAGATCAACACTTGCAACATTAGGTCTTATTTAAAGTAAGTCTTTTTAAGAAGCATCCACAGGGATCCTGTGATGAAAATGTATGCAGTCAGGATGACTTCACTGTAACCAGAGTGAGTGGAGATTGAAGTGTGAACAGACAGATAACCTCAGGAAGCTGATTTAATACTCCAAGGAGAGACACGTTCTTTCCTTTTTAGGAATATTACACATTTGCACTTTTAGCCTACCTTAATACCTTAAAGACTATTAATCATAATCCCCAAGCCAGTTACTGTGACTGTGAGACTACTCACTCTAATTATCACATTTAGTTCAGTGTCTAAGGGGCATGATAATGGGTATAAGGTTGGTTTATTATCAGCTCAGCAGGTAGTGCCCGGACCAGTCACTAAGGTTACATAAGACCAGGGAGGTTATTCATTCCTTAATTCCCACGTTGACTGATATGGTCCTGACTTCTGACCTCTCTGTCTCATTCCTGACAGGGCTGAGCTGACATTCATTAGGCTGCAATAGTGAAAGCTGAACAGTAACCTCAACCTCAGAAGAAAATTCTTATGCCAGTGGTTTAATCTGCCCTTCATCACCAGCATTATGGTCTTAAATGAGGTGATAAATAAAAATGCATCTTATTGTTTTAAGTATATGATGTTTGGGGGTTTCTCTGGCAACCATCTGAACCAGCTTGTCTTTGACGCACAATGTTGTCCCTTTGAAACTCATTGCTTTGGTCATATAGACCTAAACAAATGTATATTCGGCATATTTAACGGCAGTCATACAAAGATTGACAGAATTGCCTCTAGTAATCGAATCTGATCAACATTTTCTCAGAAGTGATTTGTAAATATAAACTAGTGTGGCCATGCTTGAAAATCCCAAGAGACTTCTTCTTATTGTCAGACTGACATTTAATTGAATTATTAAAGAAACTAAATGTGTGAGCCTATTAAATTGTCACTGCTATACCATCCTTTTTCCCCTTTAGTTCTACTGAAAGCTGGCATCAGTATACTAGATATTACCCTGGGGAGAAAAAGATACATGATGTGGCCCCTGGGAACAGCACTCCTCGCTCTCCATGTTGTGTTGTTACTTTGTGAACAAAAAAACACAACATCAGGAAGGGGAAAAGGGAAAGAAGGCATTAATACTTACAGACATACCTGAATGGTAGGAGTTTTGACAGCATAATACATAATCAGATTTAGATTTAATTTGACAGGCGACCCAGTTTGACTCCCAGACACTAAAACTTTGAGAACATCAGAGTTGGTGGGAAGAGCTTTTTTTTTCAATAAACACATTAGAATGCCAAACCTTAATTTCTTTCCACATATAATTTTCAGTTAAATTTAGATACATAATTGAAGAGTTGCCTCCATGATTAAAAAACAACATTTTGTGTGTCAACTGATCATAACGGAAATATATAGGCCTGTGTTAATTCTTGATTTACAAGCTCTACTGATATAAAGAAACGTTGAGCAGTATCAGAAACCCTCTGCGTGACAGGTGCTATCTGTTTTAAGAGTGATAGTAAGTTACAGTCATATGTTTTGAATTTTAGTGGGGGGCTACTCATCTTGCTCTTCTGTTTAGATTTGGATCATGGATCATGCATCAAACATGAGCTATAGTCGAGTTGCTATAGTAAAAGACATCATGGTATGAATTCTACAAATGTGTTTTCGATTGAGCTGAGGATGGAACATCAACATTTTTAGCATTTTTAAAACAGATTTTCATGATCTACATTGTCATGGTTGATGAATATCTCTACAGTGTGAATAGATGTTCTCCATTATTTAGGCTGTAGACATTGAGGGTAAGACAGCATGATTAACTTAATTCGGATCTACTTAACTCCCATAGCTGTCTGGTTATAGACAGTAAAATTAGCTAAATTTAGTCAGTACTGCAAACAAAGTTTTGTTGCAACGGCCTTGTTTAACATCAGCATGCTCTCAGAATAGAACTACTTGATCTAGCTATACAGGCCTGTCTCCATTCTCAAATTGCACAGCACCATACTTAAGGCATAAATGGTCTCATCTGACTCAATTTTGAAGGCCCTCTAAAATAAGAAGGTGCAACAGTTATCAGTTATCACTTTGTCCTCCATCCTCTCTGGTGTCCTCTCAAGCTTGTGACCACTTAGTTAGCTCACACCTAGAATTGAGCCTGTAAATAGGTTTTTCCGTCTGAGGCTTCTTAAACTGAGCAGACTCAGTGCAGTGCAGATGTAAAACACATGACTTGTGGGAAATGATAGTCCCTCAGCTCTTTCACCACCTCCTTCCTCGCCTTCTATTCCTCCCTATCTGTGTCCTCCTCTTCAAACAGGACACATTCAGCATATTTTCCATCCTACCATACGTCTGTTTGTCAGGTCACACCTTCAATCTAAAAGGCCCACTGAGCTCCCACACAAATCCACTCACAGATTCGCAGACTGATGAATGTGTGTGTATTAGTGTGTGTATGTATGTATACCATATGTGTGTATTGTTGCATACATTTTTTGCATTCTTGACTATAAGTTTAAGTACTTTATCTCTATCAGATTGTAGGTGGTATACTGTCTACTGACAAATAACTGTTGGATCAGCCATCATGTGTTTCTTAGACACTTTATCCAACAGGCAGAAAATTGGCCTGAATATTTGCCTGCTCCTCCGCTCCTTCTGCTGCGTGA